AAGAGCTAAGATAGATGTAAAGAAAATAAGATGAAACTTTGATGTCCTTTCTCTTTGGGCAGTTAGGCCATCTAGAAAAATTGAAAAATGAATCTATCTTTCTGGCCTTTTGTGTGCCTGTGTGTGCATAGGCAATTCTGATTTTTTTTCTCTCTCTTTTTTATTTGAAGGAAGCAAATCATCAAAGCAAAACCTTTCTGATTAAAATCCTTGGTTTCAGTGAATTATCTCTTAAATAAAAGCTCCCTGTAATCCCTGACTAGTTTAAGTAAGGATGTTAAAGGAAAGGTTTTAAAGGTCTTAAATCTGGATGTCACATTCAAGAAATGGCTTCTGACTGCCTAAGATCTCAGAGTTCTGTGGCTCATTTTAGAACAAATTGGATTATTTTCCCCCTGCATTTATTTCTTCTCACAATTCCAATGAGGATGAAAATTATTGACACATTTTCTGTGAGTCGTGACTCCACTCCTTTGTCAGATTTGTTAGTGCTTTGATTTTGTTACAGGCATAAATCTGGTTTTTCCCCATTCATAACACACTTTGCAGCATGGCTTTCTGACTTACATGGGGCAGCTGCACCCTCTAGATTAAATCAAGTCCATYTTGTGTTCAGCTGGGAGCAAATAGAAGTCTTTCCAAAACAAAACTTCAGCAAAGTGAGAAGATGAAATTGAGAAACACAGATAACTAGAGAAAGCTGTCAAAGAGCACAGGCTAAAATACAGGGGATATAATCAATTGTAATCTGTTAATGAAGTAAAAGTCACATCAAGATCATTGATTGATTGGAGAGGTGCCTTCTGCTGCTGTTCAGCTGGTGGATTATTGCTTTTTTYCCCCCATCCTGTAGAACTGTGTTTCTCAAAGAGGTCTTACAGGATTCATTATGGAACAAAGTTGCTATCATAATATAGTTTTTTTTCCTTCTTTAATCATTTTGAGTACATAAAAAAAGGAAAATAGGAGGAAAAGGATTTAGTCATGAAAAGTTCTCTTTCTCCACAAGAAAAATACCATGTTTAAAGGATCTTCAGAAATCCAGGGATTTGTTTTTACAGTCATGGAGATAATAYAGATAATTATAGATAATATAGATATAGTTTCGGTTCCTAGACAGGAGTGTGAATCTCTTTAGGGTGAGATTTTTTTTGGTCAAGGTATGAAATCCTTGATTTTACCAAAGTTAAGATTTTCCATTCTGCAGGGATTGACATTTCATCCCCAAAATTCAGAAGSTCCCTCCCATAKCAACCTGGTGCTTTAGAAAATYTSCTCCAATGAGAGGTAGAGAGGCCTTTCTAAAACATGTTTCTTCTCTGAGTTAGTAGGACTGAGTGCTAGGTCCTGGGAAAATTGTATCCTGAACATCTGATGTGGATTCTTTTTGCTCYAACCTTCCATCAGAACAGCTTTTGCTATTTTGAACAATTTATGTTGCTCTTGGGGATGCTGCTTGACTTTCATACAGGAGTTCAGCAGTGCCATGAGTTAATTGCTGCCTCCTTTTCAACAAATGAAAAGAAATACCTGCAAATCTTGGCTTACAAAGCTTGGCTTCCATTTAAATGTAATTACCTCCCTTTTGCGCCTTATACATTAAGGGAGGCTTCAAACGGTGTGTGGATCCTATTCAGCTAAATTACTTTCATTTGCTGCTTGCATAGTAAGGATGAGGCTCTGGAATAAAGATGATTGTTTAAAGAAGGCTGCTGCAATCCCAAATTGCATAGAGAAAGTTCTGTTAATCGAATTAACTTCTGTTAATCAAATTAACTTATTTACTTGGTAAGACCCTGACTGGAATTTTTGTTATGGGCCTACAGATGTGGGTCCGGTGCTAATCCATGACCACAGAGTTTTTAACCCTGARTGATTCTAAGGCTTGCAACAATTCCAACATGGTTATTCTGGTGATGAATGATCTGGTGATGATGAGATWCTTCAGTATCTCTGTGTACTGTGTCTGTACATTGRCACAGCTTGCTCCTGCAGGGTGTTSGTTATCCAAACTTTTACCAAAGTTAAAATTTTCTGTTCTGCAGGGATTTACATTTTATCCCCAAAATTCAGAAGCTCCCTGCCATAGTAACCTGGTGCTTTGGAAAATCTGCTCCAATGAGAAGTAGAGAGGCCTTTATAAAACATGCCTTTCTCTAATCTTAGTAGGACTGAGTGAGGACAATAAAGGCCTGAATGATACAAATGCAAAGAGYGGGTCTGAGTAATGAGAAAACATGAGCAAAATGCATCTTAAAGCAATTTTGTACATTATTAGCCATGGACTTACCACAGTCTTCAGCCTGATAATAATCAAAACAGGTAGAGTTTAGCTGTGAACAGACTTGTGCATGAACGTATGATCATCAGCATTTTCATGGGTCAGCACATGGGTATGGGTGTCTGTGATAGGAATTCAGAAAAAGAGGCTAAGAGATGGGAAATATTTGAACAGGTTGTTTTAATTTTCTTTTTAAAAATATTCTCCCAATTCTGTGAACGCATGTCATTTCATGGAACAAATACAGATTACCTGCATCAATGCAGWTTACCTGTCTGAAAGCTGAAGCTGTGTTGGTGCGAGTGCCTTTAATGAGGGAGGGAGGAATTACAACTGGCCCTTGACAGTTCTACTCTGCTAAGGCRCAAAGCTGGGTCACTTGTCTCTGTAGGTAGATGGTTTGGTGGTTTGGATGATGTGTAAATTATCACAAGGCAGAAAACGGGGAAGAATTGTGAAAGGGAGAGATGCAGACCCACAGAGATTGATGGATAAACAGTGGGTWGGCTGGAATCTCAGGTGCAGTGAGGATGAGGACCTGATGCATTCACGTGACTCCAGACCCAAGTTTTGTCCTGGTGGTGACCTCATTGCTGCCATAAGCTACACAAACTCTTCAGCAGAGTCCTGACARCATTTATGTGCCTCCTTTGCTCTTAGTCAATTTGGTTGAGGTCTGCACTGGGCCCTTCTGCTTGTGCTGGGTCTAAATAAATTTCTCCGATTCCAGTGTCTGACTGATAAAATGCCACTGTTTCTTTCAGAGAATGTGGTGTTGTGTGGGGAATAAGAAGTGTGAAGGAGAGTGCAATCAATACAGAATCCAGGAGGGTCGGTGCTATAGAGAGGCAAAATTAAAGGAAGGGAGGATGTTGGTAAAAGAAGTTGCAGAGGAGGGTGCAGGGAATTTGCAGGGGGGGAAAAACTTTAGCTAAAAGCAAATTAGATATTTGAGAAATTCAGTCAGATACTGACTGAATGAAAAAGGACTTTTTTGAATGACAGGTAATGAAATARTGTCAGATTCTGTGACTAGCTCCAGACTGCAGACATACAGACAACCCATGCAAGCACACACACAGACACGTGCGAAGGCAGGGGGGGAAGATAATTCAATTTCAAATGAAAACCAATTACTTTTTTTAAATTGTTATTCCTTTGAAAGGGATGCAAAAATTTTAAGGGAAAGAGATTTTAGAGCAGATTGTGTAACTAAACAAGTGTTTTATTTGCTTTCACTAAAGGATTATTGGAAACAAATTTTTTCTTGTTACAATAGGTGAAGAAAAAAAATGTTGGTTTGAAGCCAACAGGAAAAGCAACCAGCAGAGGAATGTGATAGCCTAAGTTTGCCTTCTGCTGGAGGTACCTGGCCCTATCCACACCTGAAAGATGTTAGTGTAGTTGCCCTGGTTTTAATAAGTTTGGTTTTCAGAAACTTGGTTTTAAGTTCTGTTTTTTACCAGAACTGGTGGTTCCTAGGCTGACTGTGTTACGTAAATGGGTCAGAGGGAAAAGTATCATGTTCACAAAGACTAGCACTAAGTGCTTGTCTCCTCATTCAAGGTGATACTGGTTATTTAACCAGAGGCAGTGCTCAAGATTGGCAGRGTTCAAGAAGTGCTTGGCTGGCACTCTCAGGCTGATGGTGTGATTTTTGGAGTGATCCTGTGCRGGGCCAGGAGGTGGRCTCAGTGATCCCTGTGGGTTYTTTCCAKCCMAGCATAGTCYGTGATCCTRTGATGGTTTTGCTTGGTTTGRCTGATGAAATCGGGGTTAAGGCACACCTAGGTCTGTTGCTCGCTGTTTTGGTTTCAGGGATCTTCACAGCAGCTCTGTTTCCATCTCTCTGTGCTATTTGTTGTGTTGTTTTGTGCTGGTATCAGTAACCCTTGTACCCACTGAGAGCTGTTCTTTTCCCCATCACAAAGTGACATGTGACACCAGAGCACCTAATCCTCTTAATTTTTTTTTCCTCATAATTTTGTGGGTCCCTGTGTGAATTTCCTTTTCCTKTAGGATACCACGCTGCCATACAGCACAGTGAAAAGTACTGCAGGTAGTCTAATACATAAATTTGCACTTGCACCTTCCCATTGTCCCCTTATTTACCCCAAATTACTGAGGGAARCAGGTGGCCCTTAGTCCTTGGCTCATCCCAGCAGCTCCAGTGGCTCCAGCCGAGCTGCCATCCCCAGTGCTCATAGGTGTCTGTCCCAGGGGCAGGGGGAAGGGCTGGCACTGCAGGGGCTGCAGGAACAAGAGAGCTTTCTCCCYGTGCTCTGGAGCTGCTGGCACACTCAGAGAATGCCAAGGGCTCACAATGAGGCAGAAAGGAAGCAGAGGAAGGGTCTGTGTGTAGCTAGTGTGTGCAGTGCTTTCTTCCATCTCTCCGCTGAGCCCTGACCTGGTTTCTCCAGGAGATGCCTGCTGTTTTCTTATTTTCCAAGCAAGTTCCTGAGACAATGCTTTGCATGCCAAGCAGGGTCAGCCACTCAGATAGGGAGAGCTCTCAACAGAACATGCAACTCCCTTCCTATCCCCTCTACTGCCTCAGCCTTTCCTGTTATTTTTCTTTTCCTTCTCTTTCCCCTTCTTTTGTTCAAAATGAGGAGACAATTCGTATGTGCATGGAGGGAAAAAAAAAGGGTGTTAAATTAAATTTATTGCAGCACCTCCTAGACACTGATTTTTTATCATTGTTGTTATGTCTTGACAGAATCCAAGAAGAAGAAAAAGGAAGGCAAGAAGCAAGAGAAGATGCTGGATTAATGGAGACAACTTGGGCAATGTGAGAAAGGGACATCAGCAAACATGATCAGTTAACAGTTTCATTTATACCTAGGCATTTTATCCTAAAATTATTTATAGCTTAATGGTACCAATAGAAGGAAAAAAGCAAACACAGAAAAAAAAAAATCTTTTTTTTTTTTATTACTATAGTATCTTTAATGTATAAACCTAACAACAATTTTTAGAGGCCTGTAATAAAGGACTCCAAACTCATTTAGATAATTATGTCTATTGCATATTGAACCATGTAGAGGTTTTCAAATTTTTTTTTCTCAAGTCTTGCCATAGGTCTCAATCTGGTAATTAGCCCATGCAAGCAGAACCTGAGCCTGTGTGGAGCTCTGCTGAAGCCAGTGGTACCCTGTGTGAACACAGCACTCTGGCTGGATGCATTTTATATTTGAGATTGGGGCCTTATATCTGAAAAATTGAGGCTTGTTTCTTAATTTCTGATTTCATCTGCATAACTGCATGAAATTGTTTGTTTAAGGAAAGGAGGAGGGCATTTTGTTGGGYATTTACAAGTATGGGATTTTCTTGGATGTGTGTTGAATGTTCATTCTAAAATGTCACCATCTGCAGGTGAAAACCAGTAACACTCCTTTCCTTAAGCATGTTTTGAATGTTGGCAGTAAACATAAAATCTTCCAACAATCGGACATAAAAGAGTCCTAATTTTTCATGATTCTCTAGCAATGATTTTTTGAAGTGGAACGATGACAAAACTTTCCACTTTTCAGCATACCAGTGTTGGTGGATGGCAGTGTGCTCCATTTTACCTATAAAAGCTGAAAGATACTGTATTTTATTTGTTCATTTTGACAGGAGAGAAAAAATCTTTTTCATAAAATATCTGTTTGAAATATTTGTGATTCTGCCTGACCCAGATCCCTTTTGTATCAGTGGCAATATCAGTATCAGTTGATTTTAATTATAGCTGGTTAAAAAATGGTATGTCTGGTGGAAATAGGAGGAGAGATCTCTTTGGAAACCACCAGAGGTAGTTCATATTTTTGACCAAAAAAAGAACAATTTGTGGGACCTGAAACCAATACGAATRAAATTGATTTTGGTTTATCTTTTAGTAAAACAGCAGGGAAATATAAAACCAGTACCTTTTGCTTTCTTCCATTTTTATATAAGCAAAAAGACCCTGGAAAAAGCTCGGTCAACATAAAAATAGATGTGATTATTTTATTTTTTTTTTAATATAGTCTGCAGGGAAAAAAGAAAAGAAAAATTATAACAGGCTGTTTTTCAGCTTGCTTGATTTTACCTAATTTAAAAGATTCTGAGTCCTGAGAGAAGTCACAAAGTAGAAAAAAGATCTGACAAATGGCTGGACTGTCTGTCTCAYRGTAAAAAGGGTTGTTTAACAAGCTRMCAACAAGCAGACCAAAATTTTTAGAGGAAACATAAGGGATTTCAGTGGCCAAATTAAGTTCAAAATCATTGCTTCTGAATTCTAAATCCTAAAATTCAACAGCAAGATACAAGCTTTGCCATTCGTGAGAGCTGCAGGCTTCCCTGCTGGTCAAGAGGAGCAGTCTTCCTTGTACTCCTGCACGGTACCCACTGACTACAGTGAAGCTGCAGCAGGGTGTGTTCATCTAAATAAATCATTTTTCTCTCTTAGGATTAGCTCCTAGACAAGCAGAGAGACTTTTTTTTTTTGTCATACTAACATCACTCCCCTTTTCTATGCAAAAAAAAAAAAAAAAATTGTAACGATTGCAGAGCTTGCCCTCTTTTTTTCTGGCGTGGGCTCACAGTGAGGCAAGTCCTGTTCCCAACCACTCCCGAGGCCTGCTAGCCAAGGCTGCACATAGCTTAAGGTAGACTAGCCTCACAATCATTTCCCAGACTCTTTGGGTGTGTCTTGCAGGCTGTGTTGATGTCCTTGTCACTTTGACTGTGCTGTTAGACACACCTGAGTCCGTGGTACTGTTAAAAYGTCCCCTCGTGCATGGCGGGTGTGCAATGACCAAATCTGAAATCATAAAGGCTCATATTTYGGTGGCTCTGGGTGCTATTTGGTTTGTTCATGGAATAATCAGGTCTACCTGTGCTTGTGCCTCAGTCTGCTGGCCTGGTAGGTCTGATTGAAAGCAAAAGGAGAAAGAAACTTTTTTTTCACTCACCAAAGGTTTGTCTGTCTAAATGCTGCATCAGTGCACTTAAAGCGTTCAGCTTTGAGTGCAAACACTGTTGCACCATGTCTCACRCTGGTTAATCTAGTCCATGTTCCACAGGGAGCTGGCAGGAATTGGGAATGATGCTGAGACCAACACTTTGACTGTCCTTTAGCAAACCTTAGATGTGACTTCTTATTTCCACCTCTGTGAGTATAAAGAGAATAAATTCCCCTGTTTTCCTCTGACGCCTTCTGGTCTTTTCGTTGAACTGTGCCCATCTGGCTTTTAAAGGAACATTCCCAATAATCTTTGAAGGAAGCCAGTCCAGTTCCTATGGTGGCATAAGTGACAGTTAACAGAAAACAAAGAAACAAAAGAAAAAAWAWCATGTCAKGACCAGAAGAAAATGCAGCAAAGGGTGTGAAATAGGAGAACATTTCTTACGTAATACTCAGCCATGTATGTTCAGATCTATATTAGCATCTTATTGCTGACAGCAGTTGGAGGAATAGTKTATAAACTTARAATGGAGAAARMTTCCAATGAGCCAGAAGAAAACATYCAGTGGAAACTCTAGCTRTGCAGGTRATTATGAARTGATTCATGGCAGAACACAGAGGAGGATTGAATAGGTCAGTCAGGTCAGCTCTAAAAGGAGATACCTGGTACCAAACAGGAGCCCTTGTTTCACTCGTGATGTTATCGAGAAAGCAAAAGGCACGATTCTGAACAAAACCCCTTCCCACCCATCTTGATCAATTTCTATTTCAGTCATTCTGAAACTTCTCCTTATTTGCTTTCTAATCTTTTACCCTCCCTGCTTTGGGAGGGCAGGCTTGTCTGACAGTGCTGTGGGAGCGGCCGCTTCAGATGAAAAACGTGTTTACCCTCTTGGTGCTATCCTATTACCATGAAAAATGACTTAGCATAGGTGTGTTGCTTACTTAGTTGAGCTGACAGAAATTTTGTTTCACAAATGGTCCCTCTCGAGGAATGGTTTACATCTTCGTTTGCTACAGCTGTAAGAGAGTGGGGAGGTGATAAAAATCCCCCCAATGGCAGCCTTTTCTGAGCGCTCAGATATCTTAGAAAAGAGATGGTGAGTTGCTGAACATCAGCAAAGAAKGAATCTGCATCCAGACTCTGGATTCCAGTCAGGTTAAACCTAAATATATATTTGGGTATATCTCCCTTCCCTTTCTCCAAGTAAGCTGAGGCAATGCTGGTTTCAGTTAGGCCTGTCTGTATCTTGATTTAAAACAGCWTTTGAGGATTGGGACATTTTCTGACTTAGACATGTCTTCTGACAGAAATGCCTATAGTGAATGAGAATCATTGCTTGTTAGCCTGGCCTATTTAACAGCCTGTTTAGTGCAGCAAAGCTTCTGGGCAAGGCTCCAGGAAGGGAAAATGTTTGTTGTACATGCAGGTAGATACTAAACTGTAATTTACTGATTTTCATCTTCTAATTCCATAATGACATTCTRGGCTGAACTGTCTTTCAAAGAAGAAAAATGAGAAGAAATGAAAGAATAACCATTTAAAAATGTATCAACAGGCAGCTTTGGAGACTTGGTTAAGAAGAGACAGTTAGGAAGTCAGGAGCTTTTTATACAAACTCATTTTGCACGCTCCTTGAGTGCAGAAGAGAGAATTTCTGGTTGGCACATTTATTTTAATGCTTTCCCTGATTTGTGCCTTAATGAAAAGGAATCAAATGGAAAGTCTTACAGAGAAGTAAAGTCCCACTCCAGCCTCAAAGGAAGTGTTCAACTGGAGGCAGAGTCCAAAGGAGACAATAGCACATAATGTCAATGCTGAGGGTGGGACAACAACCTGATTTTCCCTCAATGTTACCAATGTAAACTCAACACTATTCTATATCTTTCATATCCCCCAAATCCTAATCAGGGGAAGCAGGATGGCAGCAGGGGTAGGTATCTCGTATCCAATCCATTTTCATTCTCCAGGACAGCACTGCTCTGAACTTGTGACTGAGTTCTCTCCTTTGCAGAGACAGATTGTACCTATTGCCTGCCTTCCCACGCTTATCCGTAATTTTGATAGCATTTATAGGTTTTCTGTCAGTTCTGCCAAGGCACTCCACCTCTCAGTTAAACTACTGTGGATCTTCCCTCATCCTTGAGATTATATTCTCCATTTCTTCCTGGATTGTTGCAAAACAGCCCCAGGAAGCCCATACCATAAAGGACCCCTGACTGTGTCCTTCTGAAATTAAAAGAAACTTGTTAATCAGTACATAACAATGAACAAGGAAGTATGATAATGAGCAAAGAGAGTCCCTGGATTCACTGGGAGGGTGRATTGCTGCTTAAACTTTCCTCAAAACCTGGTCAAGACTTCCCAGGGGACAGAAATGATCAAATAGTCATCTCAAAGCTTAGAGACACTGATGCAGGAGTGTCTGCCTTCAAACAAAAAAAAAACCCAGGAAACAGAGAAACACCTTAACTAGATTGGCTACAAGCTGTATCTTTTACCTCCATCCTCTTTTATCATCAAATTATCATGGTGCATAATGTTTCTGGGGTAGTGAAAGACTTGCCTTAGCAGGTGTAGAGTGTGACAGAAAAACCTCTAAATGCTCTTCCACCCATGGGTGTTTGCAGTTGGAGAAGATGTAGGTAGTCTCCTTCATAGCAGCATCAAACTTGGCTTTGGAGCAAAATTAAACAGTGCTGAAATCTAATAATTTTCCTGGTGGTCCCTTTCTGCTGCTGTTCACAAATGACCACCTGCCTTGTGGCCTCAGCACTCTGAACTGAGCAAAAATCAGGGAAAACATGAGAATTCAACTATATTTGACTATTATCGTCTCGTTGGTGGGTTTGTACAATCCTTTAGCCCTTTCTGCAGTTTGCCATTTAAATATGGAGTGTCTTGGAGTCCCAGATGGCTAAAAAAGCTCTGATAGTATCTCCTAGCCTTGAAACCACTTGGTTTTGAGAGACCTGTGTATGAAAAAACCTGTACCTAAAGATTTTACTCCTTTCTTAAAAAACCCACGATAACAAACAAAACCCACAACAAAACTGAAAACTTGTCCAGTGAGTGGATTTACTGATCAGATAAAACAGAGGCTCACAAGTATTCCTATTTCAGAAGATCACTGAAAGTTAAAGACTGTCCAAAACCTTTAACCCTGAATTCAGTGATGGAAAGCTAGGAAAATGGAGAGCYTCTGCTGGGCTGTCTTGCTCACAGCAGATTTTGTTCCATTCATTTCGCCGTTTGGACTCCCTCGCTCTGATCAGCCTGGCAACAAGACATTATTTAACTTTTCTCATTAGGTCATCCATCATACTCCCCATATTATAATTATGTAGTTCATCTAGACTTTTCCAGCTGAAGGACAGGGCTGTGATAGTCCAGAGTGTGTTGTGGTTGCTGAGGTGGGCTGAGAAGCAGAGGCAGGGCTGGAAACCACCTCACACAGATGTGAGCATCAGACACAGCAGCTCTCTAAATACACACACATTTACTGCATATATTTATGTGTACATACCTATATGGGGAGGCAAAACTACAGAAAGGTGCATGCAAAACTCAAAATGTGAATAGCAACCAGTGCTGCCACCTTTCCAGGCCGTGGTTGGAATGAGAGAGCTTTTTTGTCCTGTGTTGTTGTTTAAGTGAGGGCACTCAAGTAGGATGAAGAGCTGGATTTCTTCCCACTTGCCAGCACTTCAGTTTAAGGATGGCTGTGTCCGAGGGAAATGCAAAGCACAGGGCAATGAAATGGCCAAAAGG